CATTTGATTGATGTTCGTGAGAAATGGATGGTATTTTGTACATACAAATGGCAAAAAGATCTCAATTTAATAAAATATAATCCTATCATGAACAAAACTAACTATGATATAATCAAAGCCATATTTGTATTCAACAATACAGTTTACAGTTGTATCTAACTTCAAGCGCGCAGAGAAAGTGGGTAAGCAGTGAAGCGTGTCCAGCTATGTAGTACGTCATATGTACGACCTTCGTTAATAATAGCTTGTTTCATTGACTAATTAATTGCATTTTACGGTTGGTATGTAATTTGATACAGATATTTTTATTGTATCGTGATACTTTTGGAAAATGGAATAGGAAGTGTCTTAAGTTTTTAGTATAATGCGTCAAGCGTGTCTTTGCATTGTTCTTACATATGCGTACAGTATTGAAATATGTATCAGAGACATTGTAGAACATACTTTTTTAAAAAGACTTACGAATGGAGTTTTTTGCTCGTTCTTCTCCATTCGAATCTACATTTTGGAATGAGCACCTAGCTTCACCTAGCTTCACTGACGGACTGACTTACTTGGTTTTTGAAAAAAAATTCATAAAGTCGTGATGTTTCTTATCTTCATAACATCACGCCTTTTATCCCCGATCGGGTAAGTCGAGGTTTTTTCTTTCTCTTCACTGTTTATGTTATGAGTACCATGTAATAGTGGGTGAGCCTATTGCCATATACCGGGCACATTTCCAGACTCTGTGCCACTACTGAGAATTAAAAAAAAACTCAGTAATGTTTTGTCCGAACCGGGAATCGAACCCGAGACCCCATGTCAGTCGTACTTGCGACCACTCGGCCAACGAAGGCAGTCTGATTCAGATTTCGTCAACATAGTATGTATAAAATTGCATACGATATAGGGTCGGTTGGATATATATACATATATATATATATGTGTGTATGTAAGTTGTCGAGAATGCAAGACTAGGGCGTTCACCTTGGATTGTCCTTGTTTTATACTTTTACCTTTTGCATTATTGAACAAGTTGTATCAACTCCTATACTACAATTAAATACTACTCGGATAAAGAGCTAAGATATAGGGCAGTTTCCTAAATTTTATTTTAATATCCGTCTGGTAGATTATTTTAAAACATTAGACACGTATTTTTTCTTTTCTCACAAAATTAAATGCTTTCGACGATATATTGATTTGAAATGTCGCGTGACGTCACAGCGTGCTATAAAATGTACCACGTTATGACGTAACTACCTCCCACTCGTAAACTTAACGCCATTTTATTTAAGTATTGTAACTTTATACGAGAAAATAAAAAAAGACGTGTCTAATAGTTTTAACAAATACATAACATAACATCACGCCTTTTATCCCCGAAGGGGTAGGCAGAGGTGCACATTATACCACTGTACAATGTAACACCCACTTTTCACTATTTATGTTATGAGTCCCATGTAATAGGGGGTGAGCCTATTGCCATATACCGGGCACAATTCCAGACTCCGTGCTACTACTGAGAATATTTAAAACCCAGTAATACTTTGCCCGACCCGGGAATCGAACCCGAGACCCCTTGCCCGGCAGTCGCACTTACGACCACTCGGCCAACGAGGCAGTATTTTAACAAATACATCTATTATATAATTCTATTATAACAATGTATACAACATTATTATTTAATAATCTTAGTTTAAGAACAACAGCTTATTAACCTACTCCAACATTCCAAACACATTCTCAACTTTACCACAATAGCATTAAGAATGAAAATGCTATAAAAGTAATTACTAAAATGGTATAACTTGACCCGCATCTGTACAAATTAGTATGTCTAAACAATCGTAGGAAATGACCACTGGTATAATCGCGTCTATTGTCTTTTATAGTGATGGGATAGTGTCGATGAAAATTTGTCGATAGATTTTTGTACTTGCAAACTTATTCATCCATTTTTGATATTTATTTGAGTTAAAATATCTTTGTACTTGTTTTTATAATAACTATCGTTAAACATACTAAAAATCGCGGGTTACTCGCGGAGTTGGAAGCAAACGCTCGTGGTGTCCGTCAGAGGGCGCGTTGGGCTAGATGCGCAAGTAGCAACACCGATGCTAGTGCCAACGCCAGTAAGTAGGCTGCGCGACATCGCCGCGACCTCGCACGCTGGTCATAAGGAAGAACCCCTCTGTGGTTCGAAACTAGTAGAGCTTTTCTCAGTATATTTACGTGAGTAACCCGCGACTTTAACTTCTTTGTACTTTGTCAGGTTACAGTTTCGGAATTAATATTTGTTATGTTTGCAGGTAGATTTTTACTTAACTTATAAGTGAAATTGTTTCGAATTCAAATCGTAAAAACAACCATAACGTTTCGCAAATTATGACATCAAAGTCAATGTCAAAACCTATATGTATGCAAACCGATTTGATGCAGTTTTCAAAAAAGGGTCTGGAGATTAAAACAGCCTTGGGAGACTGTTTTAATGTATAACCAACTGACTTCAAATAAAGAGGGCCTTGAAGTCGGTCGTTTTAAACGAAGAATTCAATTCACAATACAATAGGGTAGTTTTCTGAAATTTATTTTAATGTTCGTCTGGTAGAAACTAAAACACTAAACATACATTTCCTACCCACATAGTTTAATAGTAATGTACAAAAGAATTTAAATGAACCAAGAATAAGTATGTATTTATTTATATTTCCGGAACCTTGTAATATTTTTATTCAGAACTTAAAAGTCTAATATCATGCACTGTTATTATCTGACCCCAGGACTAAACGTTCGGCTTGTATAAAAAACATATTGTGGTTTTACAATCAAATAAAAATTAATTAAATACTGATTTATCGACAGTCGCGTGTCGCATCACTATTAACAACAACGCAAGGTCTTTCATTTCACTTTATCCAACTATGGCGTTAAAGGAGTGCTGTGTTTATACCTATACTTAGATATTGTACCTGCAATTGATGGTAAATATAGATTACCAAGGATTAAAAACTTTTATTTAAGATTCATCTTCTATACTTATAATAAATCTGTAGAGAGGTCAATTCTGTACATAAAATATATTGAAAAAATAACTATCAAGGGATGGTTAAGGATCGCTACTGATGCCAAAAATGCAATCAGTAAAATTTTTGCCTGTCTGTCTGTCTGTATGTTCGTTATGGAAACAAAAACTACTCGACGGATTTTAACGAAATTTGGCACAATTATTCTTCATACTCTTGGGCAGGTTATAGTATACTTTTCATTACGCTACGATCAATAGGAGCAGAGCAGTGAAGGGAAATATTGGGAAAACGGGAGAAGTTACTCCATTTTTTAAGCTTCCGTCGCGTGTGCAGGCTTATAGGTTAAAGCTACATAGAAATCATGTATGACGGAAATATTCTCCTTAAAATTATATAAAAAATATTCCTCGACAGCATATGTCTATCTTTTATAGTTGACTCACCATAATTTTAAATATCGTAAACCAAGCACGGAGTCTTTTCATGTGCCTAAAGATTATAAAAATAAAATAAGACTTATTAGTTTTAAAATTTGCTCTTTTGCCTATACAACATGTAACGTAATTAACGCACACCCTCAAACACCCCAATTAGAATATTATGTTATAATCATAATACATACACTAAATTTTAATTTAACATGTATAATTATGCATCCTTACTGGTCTTGTCATAAGGTTTATTTTTCTTTATTTTGTATTGAATGATAGAATTTGTGTGACTGCGATTTTAAAAGTCTTATTGCTTTGACTTACGGTCCATTTCGATTTGTTTTAACAATACAGGGTTAATATGACAATACCTAATTTCCGAAGTTTTATTTATTTTTGGGATAAAAAATTACCTATACTAAAAATTATGTAAATCGATTCAGTTAACGATTCTGAACAAACTATTTTCAGGATGTGCGTTATTTAAGTTACATGTTGCATATATTTTTGTAAAACTTTTATTTCGTTATTGCAAATATGGCTGCCTTATTAATCGCCATTCGCAACATCATCGGCCGATGCACAATACAACATAAGTATTATACTGTTGAACGTCCCTCTTTTAACTAATTGGTCACACTTGGCTAGCTACTTAGAAACGTATTTGATTGTTATTTTTTTTTTAATTTAGTCGGGACTATGTCGTATTGCGGTACTGTGTGTTAAACTGGGTGAATGAAACACTCCCGAAATGCTAGCAAAAAGAAATTGTAGTTATTCACAATTTTTATCGGTTTTATTATCGTGTTATTCATAAAACATTAGCATTGAGCAGTTGGTTACATACGTACATAACATCACGCCTTTTATCCAAGAAGGGGTAGGCAGAGGTGCACACTATGCCACTATACAATGTAACACCCACTTTTCACTATTTATGTTATGAGTCCTATGTAATAGGGGGTGAGCCTATTGATGGCAATAGGCTCGGAGTCCAGAATTGTGCCCGGGATATGGATACCGGGCACAATTCCAGACTCCGTGCTACTACTGAGATTTTTTTTACAACCCAGTAATACTTTGCCCGATCCGGGAATCGAACCCGAGACCCCTTGCTCGGCAGACGCACTTGCGATCACTCGGCCAACGAGGCAGTTGGTTACAACTGTTAATACATAAAATAACCATTTATGAAAATTATTCCTTACTTTTATGAAAATTAAACTTATTTTTGACCATCAACTGTCAGCGTTTTTGGGCGCGTTCCGTTTATTTAGTAAACTCAGCTTAAACACAAAATGGAACGTCTTTTTTATAAGGGGGGATTATCATCGAATGACTGGTCCCGCCTGGGTGAGGCGGGAGGGAGTGTCAGACTCTTACTGACTAAAAACCACCCCGTTCCTTCTACTGCACGTCGAGCTGGAGCCCCGGTAACCCGTTAGATTCTAATCGAACGTCCAAATACATTGATTTCTTTCGGTGGAATAAAATTGCATTTATTATTATTACATATGTTCAATGTTTTATTTCTTTGTTTACAGGTAAAAGCGACAAAATGAAGCGATCGCGACACAGATGGGTTGGACTCAGTTTATTTTGTAAGTTTATCTATATTGTTTGCTACATTTCTGTTTAATATATTGTCAAATGTCCAATATGGCTTATAATTTCTAATTATAAATGAGAAATCGCCAACTCGCATTGAGCAAGCGTGGTGATTAATGCTCTAACCTTCTCCGTGTGAGAAGAGGCTTTGCTCAGCAGTGGGCATTTATAGGCTGTTGTTGTGATGTGAAATGTCGAATGCCGGATTTATTGCAGCTAAGATCGAAATAATTGAGAATTTCGGTAAAAAAAATTACAGAGACTCACATTATGCTCATATGATCGGGTGGTGTAACTGCTTAGCGAGGGGACTCAGGTCTTTTCCCAGATTCGAAGCTATTTTTCAGACATTTTCGGTGTTAAGGAAATTTCTCAGAAGTAGCGTGGCACCTAAAATTATGTCTAGTTTATGGCAACAGGATCATCCTCTTTATTGTGTAGGATTTATAGCATAATTTGTGAAAAGTGTAAAATTCTGAAAAGATATATTGTATGAGTAAGTGCACCTCTGCCTACTCTTTCGAAAATTTAAAAGCTTGATGTTAATGACGACAGTGTTTTTTATGGGATAAGCCAGTATACGACCAGACGGATCACCTGATGGTAAGCAATCGGCGTCGCCCATAAACACCCGCAACACTAAAGGCGGTACAAGTGCGTTACCGGCCTTTTAGGGATTAAGAATTTAAGAATAATTGGGCCTGTGGTAACCTCACTCTCATGACGAAACACAACGCAAGCGTTGTTTCACGTCAGTCTTCTGCTCGTTGGTGGTATCACTCCGGTCGAGCCGGCCCATTCGTGCCGAAGCATGGCTCTCCCACACTTAAAGTGTCCGTGTGAGACCGCAGAGTCTTGTTTAAGACGTTCATCTCGCAATCTTCTCTGAATGTGATGAGAAGTAGAAATAAACTAATAAGAATCTAACGGGGCTCTCATAAATATGCAACAAACCAGTTATTCAATAAAAAATAGTTAAAAATCTGCATATATTGCATCATATTTAGAAAATATTTCAACTATTCAAGTAAAATACATTATGTATGTTTATAATCCAACTAGCGACCCGCCCTGGCTTCGCACGGAATTACTCTATCTATTGAAAAAACCGCGTCAAAATCCGTTGCGTAGTTTTAAAGATCTAAGCATACATAGGGACAGACAGACGGCGTATAGCGACTTTGTTTTATACTGTGTAGTGATTAACTACCTCTTTATATGGTACATAATGTCATCGTCGAATTTAAAGTTATTAAGCATAACTTCAAGGTTTATTCATAGGAAGTCAGGTAGAACAATCTAATTTCTATATTTAATGCGCATACGCATTTGACCTTGGTAATATTCTAGAATATGTTTCGAATTGAAATTCGACACTTAATCTAGGTATTAGATTGTGTTTTTGTGGATTGGTTGCTTTTAAGTGATAGTTTATATTATTTCTTACATTCGATTCCAGGGTAAAGTCTGTATGTTCTATAGATCACTCTTAAAAAATCTATGTCCCACGTTGATCTACAAATTGTAGTTCCGGGTCTGAGTGTGATGTGCATACGAAATTATGTGTTTTGTAAAAGCATTTACAACTCAGAGGAAAATCATAGAGCAGAACAATGTATTTCAAATACATTCGTATCTTCACGCCTGTCGTGTAGAGGCTATAGAACGCCAATTTCTACGATTCCTACATACAAGAAGTATGTCGTTTCATCAACAGTCATCAATCTTTTCATGCATGCTCGGCGGTTAAGGGTACTTTTAGTTTTCCCTTCTCACACACACTTCTCATCGACAGTTTTGTCAGTATATGTCCGTCTAGGGCGCACTCTACCGACGGCATCACCATCGCGCTTAATGTGGGTTGGCGATTTCAAACTTATATTTAGAAATTATAAACCCAGGTTTCCTCACGATGTTTTCTTTCACCATTTGTCAGTGGTGTCTAAATAATCTTAGAAAGTACTTATAACTCGAGAAATGTCACGTTGGTACTTGCTGTTGGTAGGTTTCGAATCCGCACCCTCATGCATAAGGGGCGGGCGTCTTAAATCTCCAGAATACTACGATATTGTACACATAAGTGTGGGAGAGCCATGCTTCGGCACGAATAGGCCGACTCGACCGGAGTGATACCACGGCCTCTCAGAAAACCGACGTGAAGCAACGCTTGTGTTACGTTACGTCGTGTGAGTGAGGTTACCGGAGGCCCAATTACCCCCTTCCCCAGTCTCTCCAATTCTCGAATCCCCCACAATCCTCAAACTCCTTATTCCCAAAAGGCCGGTAATGCACTTGTAACGCCTCTGGTGTTTCGGGTGTCCATGGACAACGCCGATTGCTTACCATCAGGTGATCCGTCTGCACGTTTACCGGCTTATCTCGTAAAAAAAATGTATAATAATTATTTTTTTATATGTAATAAAAATTATTATTTTGCAAACTACGTAAAAATACCGTGTTTAACTCCCTCTTTTTTTAAGTCACTTAATTAATTATATTAAAACCTTTTCGTAAGTCTAACAAACACTTCACTGGGAACTGCATCACAATCGTTTTAGCCAGGTACACACAGACAGGTCACGCTGATAGTCTTCATCAAAGTCAAAGTCAAAGCATTTATTTCAATTAAACCATAGTTTGGTACTTTTGTAACGTCAACAAATACAAAATAAATAATAGTCTGTCAGTCAGTCCGTCAGTGAAACTAGGTGAAGGTAGGTGCTCATTCCAAAATGTAGATTCGAATGGAGAAGAACGAGCAAGAAACTCCGTAATATCTTTTGTGAAGATAGTTAAAAAATCTTGTGTCACCTACTTATTTTAAAAAACCTCTCTTTATTTTTTTTTGTGGCTATACTTTTGTCAAATTCTATCACGTTGGTTGGACGTGGTGTATACATTATATAAATAGAAATAACGTAATGTTATGTACTATACAGCCTTGACCTATAAACAAGTTTAAGATATTTATAGCTTACCCAAATGCTTAAATAGAAATATCACTAAGAGCCAATATTTTCCTATAAATTCCTGTAAATTCATTGTTTCTCTCTATAAATGGGTGTTACATAAAAATAATTTATGTGATCTGATAAGTTCATAGTGTTGTACTACTGTCGATAAAAAGTATCGATGTTGTTGTAAAATTAATTCATGCTGAATTTTAATTCACTATTTCGATGATCACTTAAAAGGCATAAATGACATAATTATCGAATTATTATTTGTTAGAAATTATTACAGTCGAGATAATTAATTAAGAATAACCTAATTTGATAATAGTAGATTGATCGACCGACAGACGACAGACTGTGAATAAAACACGTCTATATTTTCTTTAATTTAATGGACCGAACCCCTAGCTTTAAAAATCCATTGTGTAATAATTTCCCCTTCCTCCAGACTTTAACTAAACTTTATATTGTAGTTCATAGTTATTTATATTTTAATTTGCATATATTTTCATTCAGTAATAACTACTCTAATAAAAATTGTAATATCGATATTTTGTATCGACACCAATCGATAAAATTGTATCGACAACACCCCATCCCTACTTTATAACCTATATAATGTTAATCGACATAAAACCGAAGATGAGTTGCAACACTATTTCTTGTAAAAGTCAAGGATTTAGGTATTAATGTTGAAACCTAGGTATAAATGTCAAAATTAGCATTGATCACATAATTTAGTAAATATTCAATATTATGAAGTTAAATTATCATCGGAATAGCATAGCAATTATGGATTTCTTAATAAATTAATGATTGATTTATGATATCGAAGCAGAGAGAACTGAGATAACCAAAAATTGGGTTATATTATCATTAAATTAGGTACGACGAAAATCTTTACAATGTTACACCCACTTTTCACTATTTATATTATGAGTCCCATGTAATAGGGAGCGAGCCTTTTGCCATATACCGGACACAATTCCAGACTCCGTGCTACTACTGAGATTTTTTTTAACAAACACAGTAATATTTTGCCCTACCCGGACATCGAACCCGAGAACCCTTGCCCGGCTGTCACATTTGCAATGAAACAGTCGGTTTCTTTAAAGATTTTTTAAGTTTATTGAAATAAATCAAGTTCTGTCGTACTTAAATTCATAGGTACTCGTATTTTGTGTTCAGAGTAAACATATATCGGAATATAAAATGACTTGCGACACGAGCGACCTTCACAACTCAAGTTGACATTATCCTCAACTTTAAACAATGTTTCTTAGAAATATACCAGTGTTTGCAAAACCGCAGCGATTGGGTGGTTTTTGGAAAAACTGTGGCGACGCATGCCACATATCAACGAATGACGTCACAATAATCCTACATCGCACATGCAAAGTTTACAAGCGAATAAACACGGATAGAAAATCCCAACGAACAACTGTTGGGCAGAAAGCCCGCCAGGCACGATCACCTCGCCTGGTCGGAGGATCCTCCTTTTCCGATCTTAGGGAACTATACTCTCTGTTCCCTAAAAAACCATGTACATAATTATGTATAATGTTATAGGTATTTTATAAAAACTATCGTGACACATACTAAATTAATCAAAACTCGCGGGTTACTCACGTGAATATACTAGTCATCGCCGCGACCGCGCACGCTGCTCATGAGGAAGAACCCCTCTGTGGTTCGAAACTAGTAGAGCTTTTCTCAGTATATTCACGTGAGTAACCCGCGATTTTTGGTTAATTAATGTAATAGGTATGTTATGTGTGTTTGATTGAACTGGAATCGAACTTGAGACTTGATTCGACAGACCAATTAGTGATAATTTTGACTAACTACTTCTGCTTTATGATTTTCCTATATTTTATTATATTTTTTAATAACAAGTGTGGGAGAGCCATACTTAGGCACGAATAGGCCGGCTCGACCGTAGTGATACCACTGCCTCATAGAAAACCGACGTGAAACCACGGTGGTGCGTTATGTTTCGTCGTGTGGCCCCATCTTTCCCAATCCCTGAATCTGAAGGAACTGAAATGAGATTGGGGAGACAATCCTCCGCAATCTCCCCAATCCCTAAATCCCCAACAATCCTCAAATTCCTAATCCCAAAAAGGCCGGTAACGTACTTGCTACACCCGTGGACAGCCGAATCACTAGACTCCTCTAGGCTGTCCACGGGTGACGCCAATTGCTTACCATCAGGTACCGATTGTTACTCGCGTTCATAGAGATAGAAATTATAGTAAACAGATGGGAAAGGGAACTTTTTGCATAAGAACTAAGAATACTATTCAACACAATTCTTCTTCTGCACAATCATTTCAATCTTCTCATTTTCTTCTTCCAGGTATCTCCCTAACTCTCCTAGCAGTCGACTTGCCCACCACATCAGCCGTAAAAGCCACTTCTCTGATCTTCTCGAAGACAACCTCCACGACAGCAGCGCCAGAAGAAGCAGCCGAAGATGGAGTCGAGGTTAGTAGACTAGAAGATGAAATGACCAGTAGACCTAAATAGACCAGTAGACTAATAGACCAGTAGACCAATAGACCCTAGTGGAATTTAATTTATTTGTTGATAATATCTCGTTTTGTGACACAGTAGACCTTAAGTCTCATTAGTCTAAGGATAAGGGGCATTAAATTATGTAAGACCTTTTGTAAATTAAGCCTAAAAAACGTTAGTGCATGTTATATTCGTGGAATATCTATATTTTATTTTGTAGTTGACCTCTGTCCGGTTAGAAAACGTCCCATGACATCATAAGAGTAATAGAATAGAGAGTGCACCTAGAGGTATACATACCAGTGTACTGTAATATCTCCTCGTTGACCGAGTGGTCATAAGTGCGACTGCTGGGCAAGGGGTCTTCGCTTCGATTCTCGGGTATAACAAGGTGTTTAAAAAAATGAAGTAGCATTACGGCGTAGGGAATTGTGCCCGGTATATGGCAATAGGCTCACACCCTATTACATGAGAATTATAGCATAAACATGAGAAGTTGATGTTACATCGTACAGTGGCATTAAGTGCCGTTATGTGCACTTATGCCTACCCCTTCGGCGGGGATAAAAGGCGTGATGTTATGTCATGTTATGTTACGCCCAGACCCATACTTTTTTGCTAATTTCTGGTGCAAATCTCTGGTCATAAAACGACTATATATTTCCTGATACTACCAATCCGGATGTACACCTTACATTTCAAGGCCGTTTGCTTTTATATTATGTACATATTTATGTATGTAGGTATATACGTCCGTAGTCCATATTTTGATATGTATGTGTCTGTAGTTCATACTGACATAATAAATGTAAATGTGTGAATGTATGCCAGCGCAGTTCACTGGATCCAGCTTGTAATAAAAGCGCTGCTGGATCCAGCAATTGCAATCCCTATCTACGCCTTTAGTTTACAAAACGTTTGATGTTATGTTACAATTCTTTTTACGAGTGAAACCACGTGTAAAAACTAACATATAATAAAGTTATAGTTTGTTTTTTATTTATTTATACTTTGATTTATAGCACTTATGAAATATGTATTAAGTTGGGCTAAGCGAGTTAAAATGAAAGTTGTAGCGACACTGACTTAATTAGATAACTTAAGTTATTAGTTAACATGATGATATTATATCTATTTTCGAAGAGGGAGTAGGCAGAGATGATCTTATTAAAATAAGTTGGTGTTTCTAGCAATATTTTTTGGTTGAGAGAAGATCGCAATTGTAACTGCGTAGTGGGTTACGGGTTCGATTTCTGGGTTCGGTATGACCGAAAATCTTCAAATTTATTAATTTTATATAGGACTGGAAAACCAAAAATTCACAATTTTACGTTTTCCGGTCCCAATTAATACAATGGGTATTTTTAGTTTTCAAAACTCTCAAAAATCCAAATGAAATAAATATAGACTCTGCCAGACCCGGGAATAGAACCCAAACCCCTTTTCTCTATAATACATTGCAGATAATACAAAACCGAGATCCTCAAAAACACTCGACTCAGACACCAAACTCCAAACCAACTAATCTTGCAACCACTACAACCACGGTGCAATTTCTAAGTAATTCAAATATAACATGACCTATCACGCTAAACGAATCTAAATTGAGTGGGCTTGAGAGGTAACTTAAAGTACAAGGATGAGACGAGTGAAGGGTGATACTTAGTTAGGTGTAGACTAAACTAGATATTACCTTATAACTTCTAAAAGTCGAAGAGCCATGCTTCGGCACGAATGGGCCGGCTCGACCGGAGTGATATCACCAACGAAAACCATAATGAAACAACGCTTAAGTTGTGTTTCGTCATATTGAGTGAGATTACCGAAAGCCCAATCTCCCCAAACCTTAACTTCCTAACCCCCAAAAGTTCGGCAACGCTTTTGTAACTCCTCTGGCGTTGCGGGTATGTATAGGTACTGCTGACTGCTAACTACTGCTCCTGAAATACTGCATCAAAATCCGTAGCGTAGTTTTAACCTCTCGAGTGTTTTATGAACCAACTTCATCGCATAACACGGTCAGTTTGCAAGCTGCCTCCATAGGGATCTAAGCATCCATAAGGAAGGAGAGATTAAAGATCTAAGAATACAGACCTCTCGCGTCCAGCTCTGGTCCAGGTCATGGTGTTGAGCGAGGGGGACTGGAATACCGATCCTTTGCGAAGCAGTCATGCTAGTCAAGGAGGAGGCGGGGAGGGAGGAATCTCCTCACGCCCTAGCCATCGCGAACACTCCGGGCGTCGAAGATCGCGTGATGATCTCCGGTCACCGTAAGTGCGGGTCTGCTGACGAGGAGAAAGGATAGCTCGCCGCCCGACCACAACCAGACCCGTGCGTACGGCGTATCGTGTTCTGCACGCGCCTTAAATAGCCATCAGACCACCACAGATAGGGCCCAGTAGGGCTCATGACCGATACGGAGCCGTGGAAAACCTAACGGGTTGTCGAGGCTCCGGCTCGAAGAGTAGGAGTAGGAACGGGGTGGTTTTTAGTTCAGTAAGAGACAGACATTCCCTTCCGCCTAACCCAAGGCGGGCGAAAGCGTTGGATGATTTTCCCCCCTTAAAAAAAGCATACAGACATAGTGACACACGACGGAAACCGACCTAGTTATACTATGCAGTGATCAGACATCACCTATACAATATCTTAACCAAAATTTTCTTTGATTTCAGCCTGAAACAACTGCTGAAGGTGGAGAAGCAACGAATACGACGAGCAACTCCAAATTAACAGGGATACCTCAAATAGACTATATATACGATCCCAACCTGCCCCGGGAATTGAACGGGTATAATTTGTCCGACTACCCGTTCTACGAAACTGTACCGAAGCCGGAAACAATTGATTTCAAGTGCGATGGCCTGCACGATGGGTTCTACGCTTCTGTACCTCATAAATGCCAGGTGAGTGGAGACCTTACTTGTTTTTATGGAATAGGAGGCAAACGAGCAGACGGATCACCTGGTGGTAAGCGATCAGCACCGCCCATGGACACCTGCTACACCAGAGGAGTCACAGGTCCGTTGCTGGCTGAAATTTTAATTTTATAAAATATGTTAATTAACTGAAAACAACGAGTTACGCAAGTACTTATAGTGAGAAAAGCTCAACTAGTTTCGAACCACAGAGGAACTCTTCCTCTTTCCTCATGAATAACGTGCGCGGTCGCGGCGATATTGCGCAGCCTACCTACTTATTGTAGAAACAAAGATATATGTTAAGCTAAAAATTCATTAAAACACCAAAATGATTAAACAAAGAACAATTTGACAGTTTTATAATAAATTTATCTGAAAAATAAATTATAATTTGATAAAAATGTAATTCTGTTTTAAAATAGATTAAGATGCGTCCACATTCGGCGAATGCTCCGCGAATGCACAGCACGTGTGCTGTGCAACTTTAAATGCACGAACCTTGTAGGAGTTAAGCACCAAACCATTGCCGTGACTACACGCGCCTTGCTCGCGGGTAGCCAGCAGACGGCTCTCGAGCGTCACATTCGCCAGATATGGACGCCCTTACATGATGAAATATTTCATAATGTCAATGGCCATAAATTTAATTGTGCCTGCCTTTGTTCCTTAAAATATTTAATGATTAAAAAGATTATCTTACTTTATTCCACAGTTCTAGTTAATTTAAATAGCTTTTACATTACGTACCGACTTACGTACCTATATTTGTTAAGGTATCTCTACCAATTTCAAATCACGGTAGGGGCTCATAATCATGAGAAGCTTTGCGCAATAGGCTATGCCAGTCAATTCTATGAAATCAATGTTATTTGTACCGTAATATTCAAAACCACCTTCTCATTCCAGGTGTACCATCATTGTCTGTTCGGAACCAGATACGACTTCCTCTGTGCCAACTACACCGCCTTTGATCAGAAGACTTTCATCTGCCATTTTGTCTCCGAAGTAGACTGCAAGAACTCTCCCAATTACTTCAGCAGGTAAGAACAGCAGCTCATGTAGTGCAGAGATTGTCCAGTCAACAAGGATGTAGCGTAGACTGTCCAGGCGACACACGTACTTGGGTATCGTCATGAGCTAATGTTCACATGTAAACAGCAGCTCATGTAGTGCAGAGATTGTCCAGTCAACAAGGATGTAGCGTAGACTGTCCAGGCGACACACGTACTTATGTAGGTATCGTCATGAGCTAATGTTCACATGTAAACGGCAGCTCATGTAGTGCAGAGATTGTCCAGTCAACAAACATGTAGCGTAGACTGTCCAGGCGACACACGTACTTAGGTATCGTCATGAGCTAATGTTCACATGTAAACAGCAGCTCATGTAGTGCAGAGATTGTCCAGTCAACAAGGATGTAGCGTAGACTGTCCAGGCGACACACGTACTTATGTAGGTATCGTCATGAGCTAATGTTCACATGTAAACGGCAGCTCATGTAGTGCAGAGATTGTCCAGTCAACAAGGATGTAGCGTAGACTGTCCAGGCGACACACGTACTTAGGTATCGTCATGAGCTAATGTTCACATGTAAACAGCAGCTCATGTGGTGCAGAGATTGTCCAGTCAACAAGGATGTAGCGTAGACTGTCCAGGCGACACACGTACTTAGGTATCGTCATGAGCTAATGTTCACATGTAAGCAGCAGCTCATGTAGTGTACAGATTGTCCAGTCAACAAGGATGTAGCGTAGACTGTCCAGGCGACACACGTATTTAGGTATCGTCATGAGCATGTAAATATTGTGACGTTAAGTTAAATTTAAGTAAATATTAAACTAAAAGGGAATGTCTGTCAGTCCGTACAATCTAAAATCCTTGCCAATACGAAGCGAAGGGTACTTTCAATAGAAGTTCGTGATTCATATAAGCGTGAGTTTGCAAATAATGGTACGCCATGACGCGAATGAGCACATCTTTAAAGTTTAATATTTCGAGAGCTTTAAGGACCTGCTGTTTAAAATAGACTAACGTTTGAAATGCATTTTAAATTACAATAATTTTAAACTGTCAAACGCCGCGAGGACACCGGTGTCCGCAACCTACTGTTCTTTAATTGTGTCTATAATGACGGTACTCAAGAGTGAATCCTTACTTCCTTACTAATATTATAAATCGGAAAGTGAGTTTGTTTGTTTGTTTGTTTGTTTGTTCCGCTTTCACTTTAACTACTAAACCGATTGCTTTGAAATTTTTATTTACTTTTGGGTACTTTTTATCCCGGAAAAAATTGATATTCTCGAGGGAAAATGAAATTATTGGTATAGATGGCGCTGTGGTATATGTCACATAGGCTACTTTTTACCCTTTTGTGACGCGAGCGAAGCCGCGGGTAAAAGCTAGTACTTATATAAGTGCAAATGACAATGAGCGACTTAGTTTTATACTATGCAGTGATCAGACAATTCAATTTGAATCTTTAAATTCACTGTAATTAATTTTGGTCTGACGATTTCAACGGTCTGACAGATCATCATCATCATCATCATCATCATAACATCATGTCTTTTATCCCCGAAGGGGTAGGCAGAGGTGTACATTATGACACTGTACAATGTAACACCCACTTTACACTATTTATGTTATGAGTCCCATGTAATAGGGGGTGAGCCTATTGCCATATACCGGGCACAGTTCCAGACTCCGTGCTGCTACTGAGATTTTTTTTAAAACCCTGTAATACTTTGCCCGACCCGGGAATCGAACCCGAGACCCCATGCTCGACAGTCGCACTTGCGACCACTCGGCCAACGAGGCAGTCTGACACGATCTGACAGAATCAGGGTAAAGACGTTCTCTCGCCCTACAGCTCATTACTGGCATTGAGTTAACTCCTAATACTTAGTTCGCACTATGCTAGTATTTTAATCAAATAGCGAGTATTTACTATCTCTCTCTCGCTTCGATTTTGGTATAAAAGCGAGAGGGAAATACTAAACACTGTTGGACTAAAATACTAGTGCAAACAAGGCATTAGAGTAAGCCAGTTTGCCATTGTCCCCACACTTGGCAGTTGGGTTTAAAGATCGTAGTTTGAAAGATACAACTTTATCAAAGTCAAAGTCAAAATCATTTATTTCAATTAAGCCAGAATGACACTTTTGAATATCAACAAAAAAAAATTAAAAGTGAAGTTATTTGCTCATTCCAAGGTGTAGATTCCTATGGAGAAGAACGAGCAAGAAACTCCATAGGTTACTCTTTTTCAATCAGGTTCACAATACAATTTACTAGTTACATAGTTTTGCTGTTTGGATTGTGCGAGAACAATGTAACACTAAAATCCAGTCAAAGTGATCAAAAAAGAAAATAACCTTGAGGACAATAATACAGTCTGGAGCTGACCAGTCCCAGTTGACATTATCAAAGAAAATGTCTAGTCTCTTAATAACTCTGTACCGTCATCACCTTGCATAACGAATCAAATAATCAGTATCACTATAAATGTCCCACTTCTTCCAGGAACGACGCCCTCTACCAAGCGGCCACCACTACCACAGCAGCCCCGCCGCCACCACCGCCCACCACCACGACGACCACCACCACGCCAAGACCACCCCGCCCCGGTCGCAGACGTCCAGCGTACCGATACGATTACGAAGACGATGACTATTATTACGCCAGGGATGACTACGATTATGAGGACAGGTAGTTTTAAATACACAATATTTTTTTGTAACATAACATATAACATGACATCACGCCTTTAACCTCGAAGGGGTAGGCAGAGGTGCACATTATACCACTGTACAATGTAACACCCACTTTTCACTATTTATGTTATGGGTCCCATGTAATAGGGGGTGAGCCTATTGCCATTTATACCGGGCACAATTCCAGACTCCGTGCTACTACTGAGTTTTTTTTTAAACCTAGTAATACTTTGCCCGACCCGACCCCTTGCCCGGCAGTTGCACTTGCGACCACTCGGCCAACGAGGCAGTCATATTTTTTTGTAATTACAACAGTTTAAGCCGTGGTCAAAGTCGCGGAGAACCTAACGTGTTACCGGGCTCCGGCTCGAAATGCAGGAGTAGGAACGGGGTGGTTTTTAGTCAGTAAGAGTCTGACACTCCCTCCCGCCTCACCCAGGCGGGAGCAGTCCTTCGATGATTTTCCCCCTTAAAAAAAGTCATGGTCAAAGTTATGTTCAAAGTACTGGCCAAAATCAAAATCAAAGGCATTGTGTCGACCAACGCAATATTCAAATCGAACCAACAAAACTATGTAATTAGAGAATTGTATTGTAAACCTTTGTGAAAAAGAATAACCTATGGAGTTTCTTGCTCGTTCTTCTCCATAGGAATCTACAGCTTGGAATGAGCAAATACTTAGTTCACTTTTTTGTTGATATCCAAAAGTGCCTTCCTGGTCTAATTGAAATAAATGATTTTGACTTTTACTTTGACTTTGACTTTAATAATTCAATACATAATTATGAATTATGTATTCAACTTAAAATAGATTCTTTGACTGTGACTTTATTGTAGGTTTTATTTTTTTAAGTCTCAATTATGATAGTTAATCTTCATTAGCGCGGTGTTTGGATCATTCATATTTTATTCATGGTTACAGGAGAAGACCTCGGCCCCGCAGACCAGGCAAGAAGAAGCGACCAGCAGTAGACGACTATGAAGACGACAGGTATGTCCACAGGAGATGAATATTAGTTTGCTCTCTGTTATTTTTATTAAGAAAGTCAATGTCTTACGACAACAATACAAGTTCTCACTTTTAGCAAAATTTTATGGGCATCCATCATTCTTACATTGTAACATGATAAAATAAAAAATTATCCATTCAATACAAAGACCAGTTCACAAAAACTATATCAAAGATTAATACACTTTTTCCAAACATTCCAGATACGACCGTCGTCCAAGACCAAGGGATGAAGATCCAGTAGACGATTACGATGACCGAAGGCCCTACGACAGACGCCCAGCGAAAAGACCAGCATACTCCGAAAGAAGGCCATATGACGACGAAGAAGACCGCAGACCTGCTGCCAGAAGACCAAGACCGAGGCCCAGGGATGAGGAAGAAGAAAGGTATAGGCCTGATGATGAAGAGAGGCCCAGAATGGGAGCGAGAGACTCTCCTAGGGAAGACAGGCCCAAAAGGCCAAGGCCAAGAGATGAGTATAGGCCTAGAGATGAAGTCAGGCCCAGAGATGAAGTCAGGCCCAGAGACGAGGTTGTAAGACCAAGAGATGAAGCGAGAGCAGATGATGATGTACGGCCAAGAGATGAAATTAGACCTCGCGATGAGGTGAGACCAAGAGAATCTATAAGGCCAAGAGATGAGATTAGGCCCAGGGATGAAATCAGACCACGCGATGAAATTCGACCACGCGATGAAATTCGACCACGCGATGAAATCAGACCAAGAGATGAGGTCAGACCAAGGGATGAGATCAGACCAAGGGATGAGGTCAGACCTCGTGACGAAATCAGACCACTAGATGAAGTAAGACCTCGTGATGAGGTTAGACCTCGCGATGAAATTAGACCTCGTGATGAAATTCGACCAAGAGACGAAGTAGCTCGTCCTGAAAGACGACCTTACAGAGAAGACGTAGAAAAGCCTAGGCCATCGAGGCCAAGAGAAGACAGATTCTCAGAAGGGAGAAGGTACAGAGGCGACAGCCCTTACAAATCTCGAGAAGACAGGCCTTATGGTAAATCTGATCTCAACCAAAGAGCGTATGATGATAGAAGTCAAGATGACAGAAGGGATGCACCATCAGCTCCTGAAGCTCCAGTTCCAGCTACTGCTCCAGCCCTAGTTAAACCAAATGGCCATGGTCTTTTCAGTCAGCCAAGAATGCCACCAAAAATCAAAAGACCAGTACCAATAAATGAAAGAGAAAAGTACGACTACGTTCCTGTTGCCACCACGAAACCTCCTCCTAAACTAGAAGACGATGAATACTATGATTACGAAGAAGATGACACGAGTAGACCATCATCTTCTGGAAAGACCAGCACCATACAACAGAGACCAAAGGTGGAACCAGTAGAAAAGGAAAGGTTTAAGCCAACCAGACCTCATTATTCGACAAAAGGTAGAAAGACCAAAAGACCGATTGACTATGAAGAAGAACTTTATGACGAGCCGGTAAAAGCTCAGAAATATACATACAATCAAAGGCCTAAAGAAGAGAGAGTGAAGCCTAAACCAGCACCAGCAGATGATGAGTACTATGATTATGAAGATGACAAAAGAGAGAGAGAAAGAATAAGACCAGGAGAAGACATAACAAGTAAAATAAAAGACTTGCGACCAAACGTAAAAGTAGTTAAGCGTCCTTTTTTACCCTCTAGGGGTGGAAGCCCGTACCTTCCGCGCGGATTACAACCCGTCGCCGGAAGGGATGTCACAGCACCACTAAATACCACCCCGAAACCTACCACCACTTCTCCTAAGCCCACGACCACGCCTACGCCCTCTACCACTTCTCCTACCACCACTTCTACCGCACCTAGCACAACTATCACCACAACCACAACCACAGAAAAACCAACTACAACAGTTACAACAGAGACACCAACGACAACTGTCACCACAGAAAGAACCACCACAGAAGAATATGAAGAATATTATGATGAAGAAGAGGAAGACTATGACAAGAATAAAGAAACAACAACAGTTGTTATAACAACTCCGAAAACAATTAAAACCACCACTGCAACTGCTCCAACTCCAGACCCAATCAACGCTGAACAGAAAGCCAAAAACCTCGCTTCAAAAGTTCTAAAAGTATACAACGATAACTATGAAGCCATCAGAGGTAAATTAGAATCTACACTAGCACCCGGAGATTATATAAAACCCTACCTAGCAACAGCTACACCCCCAGAAAACCCTTTTAAACCTATAGAAACTTACAAAAAAGAGGTCAAACCGAAACCTATTATATCTAAACCTTACACCGCGACAGGAAAACCGTTGCTACCAGAAAATATATCTATAAAACAGAATCTAGCTGACAGTATAGAAAACGACTATGATGTTAGACTTAATGAAGCATTAACACCGACTTTGCCAGTTAACAGAATACCTTCTGGCTTCGTCATACCGTCAGATAGAGACTACACCTTCTCTAGATTCAGGAATAACATACAGCCAATAGATCCCCAGTTTGCTGCGTCAGATGTCAGCAGTTTCCAAGTACGGAAAAGACCGGTGTCTGGCGTCAGTATCAGGACACCATCTTCTTATTATCTGCAGCCTCAAAGACTGGTCTACCAGGAAGACCCAGCTCACAGGTATCCTAGGCAGTTGTATTATAGGCCTGTAGATTTTTATTAGACTAAAATTTGTTTTATGAAAGCTTGTAGGGTAGCTAGTGATAGCGACATTTTTTATAAAAAGATACGTAGTTTTTTTTTATTGTAAATAATTTTATGATTCTTCAGTTGAGAGAAGTTCTGTTTGATATCCAGGTTATGATAAAGTTGTGGTTTCATCATTATTATATTTTATTTTAGTTGTATTTGCATCGAATTTGATAGTGTGATACAAATCGCTCGGAGCTAACCAATCCTAATTATAACCAGGCGTTTAGAGTGTATGTATAATCAATATATATTTTTCTGTAGATTGTATACTAGCTGACAGACCTCTGCATATTATTTTGTATGTTTTATTATTAAATAAAACGCCTGCAAATGATCTCTAAACATAAAACAAATAATTTACCTTTAACCTTAACTTCGATCAAAATATATATATTATACAGCACAAAAAAAATAATTTTTGTATGTTATACAACAAAAAAAAATGTTTGCAAAGATTGGTAGGTGGGTGATACCAATATATTTTTTTACCCTACAAGTTTTCGTATAGAAAAGTACATTAAACTTTTATAAGTCGAAACAACTAAATTATCGATTGGGATACATCGAAAATCCTTTAAAATACCTTAGACTAATTTATTTGTCTAGATGGATTGTAGGACTAAAAAAGGATAGCAAAAATAACACCCAATTATCTCCTACCCCCACCCCCATCCCTGATCCCTAAATTTCTAATTTCCCATTCTAATAAATCCTCGTAAATCCTCAAATCCCCAATCCTTAAAGACACCGCTGATTGCTTACTATCAGGTGATCCGTCTGCTCATTTGATGCTTTATCCTATACAAAATACGATTTCAATTTTACATAGAATAAAATGCCAGTTATATAATATTAACTTGTCTTTAACACTGATCTGATAGTTAATGATCAGAATAGGACTGTGTTAATATCAAAATAGGTCTAGTACCAAAAAAAAAACACAACAAATTAAGTTACCATTAACCTACTCGCACGAAGCACTTCGCATCAAGATTCCTTATACATGCTAAGGATTGGAATTCTTGGACCTGGGTGCCTTAAAGGCCCGAGTGAATAGGTTGCTTATGGGACGACGTGCTCCATCGTAGACCGCATCATCGTTTACCACCAGGCGAGATATTGGTCAAACATAAATATTATAAAAAAAATATTTCAGTGTTTTTGCGTGTTGTATAAAACGTAGTGTTGAACAAGCTTACTGTTCATCTGATGGAAAGCAACTGCCGTAGCCTTACAGACTATATTATATGTTGGTCAGTCCATCTACATAAATAAATGGTCTAATTCGGATACTCTAGTAACACTGCCAATTCTATATATATAAATTATATAAATAATTAGAAACGTATTAAAATACTCTTAGTTAACCTAAACTTTTTAAGAAAATAAATGAATGTTTTTGTGATCGGGAGAAAACAATATACCATTAAACTTTCAAACACCGCGAGGATACCAGTGACCGCAACCTATTGTTCTTTAATTGTGTCTATAAAACCGGTACTCGACGAGTTAAACTTTCAAACACCGCGAGGATACCAGTGACCGCAACCTATTGTTCTTTAATTGTGTCTATAATGACGGTACTCAAAGGGTTAAAATAGCAAAATGCTGATACAGAGAATTATTGTAATTTTATTAAACTCTCATAGGAGTCTGGCATTATAATCAGTGTGTCTGGTTGAAAATATTAGATTAATAAGTCAGTTAAATTGTCAAACACCGCGAGGACACTGGTGACCGCAACCTATTGTTCTTTAATTGTGTCTATAATGACGGTACTCAAGACATTCTCAATAATAACACGGTGTCTGGCATTATGGCCAGTGTGTCTGCCTCGGTATTTTTGACTGGTTAATTATAAGTGGGTGGTTTTTCCCGCTCACAAAAACAATCAAAATACCATTTTTTGTACATTTTATAAATACGAACATTTTTTTAACTTTGTACACAATTGTATAGATTTAAGGAAAATTTTTCCTATAATAAAAAAAACTGTGTAAATTTTATTGTTGTTGTCTTTTATTTTACTTAATAGGGTAGATGCCTAATTTTTATTTTAATGTCCGTCTGGTAGATTATTTTAAATCATTAGACACGTATTTTTATTTTCTTACAGAAATGAATACTTTCGACGATATATTGATTTAAAATGTCGCGTGACGTCACTTCTATGTACATTTTATACGTAGAAATGACGTTTTAGCCCCCCCACTCCTAAACTTTGATTCATTTTATCTAAGTATTGTTTTATTATACGACAAAATAAAAAAATACGTGTCTAACTGACGGACTAATTAGATTTTTAATTTTCATACCCTCTCATTATCCCAATTGTCCACTGCTGACCAAAGGCCTCTTCTCACACGGAGAAGGTTTGAGCATTAATCACAACGCTTGCTCAATGCGGGTTGGAGATTTCAAACTTACCTATAATTAGAAATTATAAACCCAAGTTTCCTCGCGATGTTTTTCTTCACTGTTTGTCAGTGGTGTCTAGATAATCTTAGAAAGTACAATATAACTCGAAAAAAAGTATATTGGTTGCTTGCTGCTGCAAACCTTCGCGCGCCCGCTTACCGCTATACATGTGAAGCGGTCGTGTCCTTCAGGCCAAGACGACGATCCAATAATTTAGGTACATTTTATAGTTTCAGCAGAAATTACATAATTTTCAATGTAATCTTTAGGTTTTATAGTGACCTAGCAGCATGGAGTTGGGTTATATATGGAAAATAATATAATATCAGAAAAGGTAGACACAAAAACTCTAAAAATAACCTCTTGGGTGGCTCCCCGTCCGACCAGAAACAGACCCGAGCGTACGGCGCGTCGCGTTCCGCGCGCGCCCTTAAAGAGCCATCAGAGTACCTACTTATTCTTGAATCCAATTCCGATAGATCGACATTGGTATATTGTGAAATTTAGTACTCTTGAGTTGCAACACTAGCGCCCATTGCATCCGTATTGCGTGTATATTGAATGAACTAAATGGTATTGAGTTTGGCTTTATATTCCGTACTCTGAATGCTATTGTAACAGCTACGATTGTGGTGGTATAGTGTTGATATTGAATCATTATTGAGATTTTATTGGATTGAAATTGCATTGACATTGAGATTGGTTTCAAGAGTAAGAGCCCTGACCACCACAGATGGGGCCCAACAGGGCTGATGCGATTCGGAGTCGCGGAGAACCTAACGGGTAACCGGGGCTCCGGCTCGACGTGCAGGAAACGGAACGGGGTGGTTTTTAGTCAGTTAGAGTCTGACACTCCCTCTCGCCTCACCCAGGCGGGAGCAGTCATTCGATGATTTCCCTCCTTCCCCTTAAAACCCCTTTTAAATAATAAAAGGCATGAAATTACTTCTTAACAAGTATATATACAATGCCTTTTGCAAGCTAATTTGATCCACGTCAAAGATCTTTTTGTCATTTGTATGATGTACAAAATACCATCCATTTCTCACGAACATCAATCAAATGTATGTATGTATGACCGATGATGTATGGTATCTGTATGTCAAATGAATTACACGGATACTGTGGTAGGTGCAGTATTAATTTATATTATGTCAGGAAAACCCTACGTAACTTGCCGAAAAGAGAACTGAAAATAGAATACCCCGTGTTAAATATAAATAAAACAACATAAAAATTATTATTTCACTATATTTGCGTTACTTATTTACTAAAATATCTTTCTAATATAAAAATCTTAGATAAATTATTGCTTTGTTAGACGATTTCAATCTTAAAACAATTGCCAATCGCTCTCTTCAATTCCAGCCACAATTTGTTTATAAAGCGCAATAAGTTACCGGGGTTTTCGCAGCAGAAGTAGGAACGGGGTCGTGTATAGTCAGTAGGAGTCTGACACTCCCTCTCGCCTCAACCAAGGCGGTAGAAGTAAATTTATGATCCCCTCATCCTTAAAATTAAAAAAAAATCGCTTGACAGTAATATAATTTCTATAATATTTCGTTGTTTCTTCTCAGAGTAATCAGTAGTGAAATGATGGCCTAATCTAGCTTATATTTAAAAAAGTGGCGTGTAAACGTATGTAAATAAGTGTGGGAGAGCCATGCTTCGCCACAAATGGGCCGGCTCGACCGGAGTGATACACGGCCGAGCAGAAAACCGACGTGAAGCAACGCTTGTGTTGTGTTTTGTCGTGTGAGTGAGGTTACCAAAGGCCCAATTACACCACCCATCCGCAACAATCCTCAAATTCCTAATCCCCAAAAGAGCGGTATCGCACTTGAAACGACGCCAATTCCTTATCATCATGTAATCAGAGTAACCTATGGAGTTTCTTACTCGTTCTTCTCCATAGGAATCTACACCTTGGAATGAGCAAATAGCTTCACTTTTAATTGTTTATTGACGTTCAAAAGTGCCTTTCTGGTCTAATTGAAATAGATTATTTTGACTTTGAATTTGACTTTGACTTTGACTGTGACTTTGACTTTGAATTTTACTTTGACTTTGACTTTGATCCGTCAGCTCGTTTACAGGGTTGTACCATAAAATAATAAAATAAAATTTTATGCTGATGTATATAAATAGCAATGACATTATGATCAAAATTAAGAAGTTCTAGAATAATATTTATTTTTTTAAAACATGTTAGATTAGTTATTCAATTTATTAGTGTATTATATATCTTGTTTTAGTCTCATATACATGGATGAATTAACATTTAGAACTATGTAACTATGCTAAAATAATATAATTTAAATTCGTTTTTAGGCATTGCCAAATTATATTTTGATCGATGCATTCTTATTTTTTTATTATTTCTTACTGATGATGCATCATTATAATGGGGTAGTTTACTGGGTCAAAAATAAATTAACTAAATTTTTCAGTCCAATTCAACTTTGAATAATAGTTACACTTTCATTCATTGATTTGCCGATATACTTAATTTTCGATTTATTTTAGCATTTTTTTTAGATTAAGTGCGCTATTTGACGCGTAAATATGATGACGTCATAAGATAGTATTTTATACAAAATTTAAAGAACCTGTATCGTTTTTGACGTTTCGATAAAAGTATTGAATATGGCTAGATGTCAACTACCGTATTATGCAGTTCCAATTTCATCATTGGTACAGAATGCGATTTTGCGATTGGCACACAGAAAATTATAAAGATTGAAATCGGCAAATATATTTTTGACAACACTAAAAAACCGACAATATTTTAAACACAAATTTCGAAAATTCCTCACGTGAATATACTGAGAAAAGCTCTACTAGCTTCGAACCACAGACATATACACAGCGTGATGAAGGTGGATATCCACTATCCAGACATCGGCAGTGGCTGAACATGTTTGTGGTACAGACGCGGCTCACTTCATACGTTTTGATAAGGTCTCCGTACTAGCAAGAGAAAAATACTTCGTTCCGCGAATAATGCGAGAGGCAATCGAGATTAGCCGACCTCCGTGTTTCAACAGGGATTTTTGGCCACTGCCGCGCACGCTGCTCATGAGGAAGAACCCCTCTGTGGTTCGAAACTAGTAGAGCTTTTCTCAATATACGTGAGTAACCCACGATTTTAAGTTAATTTCGAAAATTCTTTGGATTGACAATATGTATGTATAACATTGAGTTTGATTTTAATAAAAGCACTTTCCACTTTTTATGTTTAAAGACAATAATTATAGTTCGAAACTTTGTCTTATTACTGTGGATTTACAAAATCAAAATAATCAATACTACTTTACCTCAGCGGGAGGTTGAACCAGAGACCCCTTGGCCTTTAGCCAAACGCCACTTTAGCGCTTGTCTACAGAGAGAGTAGAAATCAAAATGTATAGAGATGACACTGACAAGTGTCAAAATTTACATCAATCCCATATAATTTGGCTTTCTATTCTACATGTAGACAAGCGGTAAATTGCATTTGGCTACAGCTGCTTGTTCGACAATCGTACTTTCACGGATCCAAAAATAACGTTACAAACTCATTTGATTATTTAGTATCGTTTTAATAACAAAAATGTCTTAATTATGTATATAAGAATACAAACAATATTCTATTTACGTACATTACACATATATAATAATATAATCTATACATATAATAAAATCGTAGGTAAGTGCAAACTGTACATAATAATCTACAAACGGCACCGAAGCTAAATATATGGTTTATAGAATGTTTGTCTGTATGTATGTCCGGGCTAAACTCAAAAAGTGCTACATGGATTTACTTCAAATTTTGCATGAATATTACTAACAGGTCGGGTCAACATATAGGCTACATATTATCACGCTATCACCTACGGGGGAAGAGCTGTGAATCACTATTCCACGCGGACGAAGTCGCGGGCAACAGCTATTATTTTAATAATATAATAAATTTCATACTAATTATATTTAATAGTAAGTAATAAAATTGCCATAAATGTCATGTTTATAACTCTCATATAATATTTTTTCATATAATTAATTAATTAACAATAATTTGCACATTCCATTTTTCTGTATTTTATTACATAACATGAGGGTTTTTGACTAAATATTGATGTTCATTGCTGTTTTGTAAAAAACTACTGAACCAATTTGGATGAAATACAATTAAAATGTTTCTATTGAAATAATTCATCTGCTTGACCTTAATGAAAAATCTAGTATTTAGGTATTCAAATTTGGTTTTCGCTAACCCTTAATTATGAAAAAATGGGAAAACCTTCAATTATTTCTCAAATCTCCTAAAAAGACTCTGAAGGTGGGCGAAAAATCCAAAATCCATAATCTATAAAACCAAAACCCACGATTATCGATATCAAAAGCTAGAATTTTCGATCTGGCTTTTCGGTCGTTGTTTCAGCCAAGACTCTGGCACGCCAGACGACGGTTCTTCAAAACCATTGTTTGGCACGCCATTCCTTGGCTCTTGAGTCACATTCTTCTCTGTAGTGGACTCTTCTCGATGGAATATTCTGTTGATGGGGAACTGGATGTAGTAGAAGAGGAAGGTGGATGACCAGATCAGGAGTTGGTAGAGACAGACCTGCCACCAGGTCATGATGCCGAAGACTCCGTATAGCCAACGGTGGGTGCAGAAATATATTGAGTAGTACCTGTAATGATAATAGGGGTGATGATAGACTATGAAAATTAAAAATGTAATTAGTCCGTCAGTTAGGTAATGAAAAAATATTAGACACGTATTTTTTTATTTTGTCGTATAAGAAAACAATACTTATACTCGGAATTTTAATTCGATTCCAGATTTGACAATTTCAGTGTTGCAACGTTATGACAAGTACTAAATAGTGACGTTGCGAAATTATTCGATATGGAAATGCAATATTTCTGGATCGATTCTTCTCGTTTATAATAATTATAATTTTACTCTGGTGAACTAAATATATCAGGAAATTAAATATTTCTGAACCGATAATTTAGTTTTGACGATTAATTAACGATCTGAGACGTTTCTTTTATAATTGTGTGTGAAATAAATAAAAAAATGTAATCATGAAGGAACATGACAAATAAAACAGATAGATGTATAATGGTAATAAGTTATTTTATAAATTGTCACCGTCATCGCTATCGCTATCCTGTCACTTTCTGTTACATTTATTATAAAACACACACACTGATTGTTTATCGATTTTTGTGTGCATCACTACACTATTATATGTGGTATCATTATTTCACAAAATGACAGTAGCTATTGTCAAATCTGGAATCTAATTAAAATTCTGACTATAGATAAAACGAATCAAAGTTTAAGAGTGGGAGGTAGCTACGTCATTTTAAAGTATAAATCGTATTCAAAAGTGACGTCTGCGATATATCAAATCAATATATCTTCGAAACTATTCGTTTCCGTAAGAAACAAAAAAATACGTGTCTAATATTTTTGAATAATCTACCAGACGGACATTAAAATTAAAATTAGTCATCTACCCTATTTAAGAAGATCAGTTTATGTGGAAAATGTAATACAACACAGAGCATGTCGTTATAAGAGGCGGAACTTAGAACTTCAATTTCTGACGATTTGGTAACCGATTTTAGGCAACTTCGTAAAAAAAACAAAGTTGACCAACAATAAAATCCTAATGAACTTTTTTTTTTAAGGGAGGAAAAGCATCGAATGACTGCTCCCGCCTGGGTGAGGCGGAAGGGAGTGTCAGACTCTTACTGACTAAAAACCACCCCGCTCCTTCTCCTGCACGTCGAGCCGGAGCCCCGGTTACCCGTTAGGTTCTCCGCGACTCCGAATCGGCATCGGCCCTATTGGGCCCCATCTGTCCTAATGAACTTTCGTTTTCCTGAATGTTGGCCACCGCAGATTGCAGACTCCATACAAAAAATAATATTTCTAAGTTGTTTAACAAGACTAGTGTGCGTTGTACTGATTCAATCATAAGTACATATGTTTCACTTGCCGGTGCAATTCACCCAATACATAACGTCGTTTCACTTGGCTTGCTCATTTCATTTCTATGTATTTTTTAAGTCGCTAGATGCCTCGCCGGTCGCAATCTCAGCTTAGAAGGTTCAGGATTACCAAGGACTGCTGTTGCCCGGTCTCTGTCACATGATCGTTAATTACTTACACGATAGCATACAGCACTCCGGCGCCACCTGTCAGCCACAACTCCAGCTTGTAATGAGTAGGGTGTCTCCTGGCCTGCAGCACGGTCTCAATGAGCACTACGATAGCTATGTTCGTATGGACACAGTGGTTGAACCACCATGGGACGAGCTGGTCGTAGACTTGGGGGAAGACCAGCTCCCGGTCGATCCAGAACAGCGTCCAGAACATTGATGATATGAACTGGAAAGAGATTGAAATTGGTTATTTTACAGTAATTTGATTGTTTAGAATATTTTGTCTAGGTTCTTATTTAAAGCAGCCATTTTGAAGAACAAAATAGTAACGCCTGACGAATTAAGACTGCCTTAATGACCGAGCGGTCGCAAGTGCGATTACTGGGCAAGGGGTCTCGGTTTCCAGGATGTGCAAAAAATTACTGGATTTTTAAAAAATCTCATTAGTAGCACAGAGTATGGAATTGTGCCCGGTATATGGCTATACACTCACTCGCTATTACATGGGACTCATAACATAAATAGTGAAAAGTGGGTGTTATATAGTACACCTCTGCCTACCCCTTCAGGGTTAATGTTATGTTATGTGTAGAACTATACTTAAGTGTGACTTAAAATGGAATTACGTTCCAGTTAACTAAAAATCGCGGGTTACTCACGTGAATATACTGACAAAAGCACTACATGTCGCGCAGTCTACTGACATCGCCGCGACCGCGCACGCTGCTCATGAGGAAGAACCCCTCTGTGGTTCGAAACTAGTAGAGCTTTTCTCAGTATATTCACGTGAGTAACCCGCGATTTTTAGTTAATTTAGTATGTCTCACGGTAGTTATTATAAAAACATTACGTTCCAGTATTTTATCATAAGTTAATAAGGGTATTAAGTATTAATATTACTGTTTTACACACTGCTTCTGATAACTCACCAGCGTCAAAGGCACCACAAGACCAGAGAACATCACATCCCTGGTGAACCGCAGCTTCCTGCCCAGCCTGGAGTCGTGTCTGTCCAGCCACTCCATCAGATCGTACACCAGCGATACAGTCAGGAATATCGTTTGGAACAGCTGTGGGAAAGAGACAGGAGATTAGATTTTGTGATCAGAAACGGTATTTTTTATTGAAAACGCAGTTTCTAAAAGAATTATATAATGATTAGTTCTTTTTATTATGAACTAGCTTCTGCCCGCGACTTCGTACGCGCAATCCCATTTTCTCCAGTTCCCGTAGGATTTTCAGGATTGTTTTTAAGTCATAAGAATTACATGGGACTCATAACATATATAGTGAAAACTAGGTGTTACATTATACAGTGGCATAATGTGCACCTCTGCCTACCCTTTCGGGGATAAGAGACGTGATGTTATGTTATGTATAATTTTTTTTTATCGCATTAGCCGTTATACGAGCGGACGGATGCACTTGGAACACCAGGGGCGTTACAAGTGCGTTACCGGCCTTTTGGGGATTAGGAGTTTGAGGATCGTTGGAGATTCAGGGATTGGGGAGATTGGGGAAGGGGAATGTAATTGGGCCTCCGGTAACCTCACTCACTCGACGAAACACAACGCAAGCGTTGCTTCACGTCGATTTTCTGCTCGCCCGTGGTATCACTCCGGTCAAGCCGGCCCATTCGTGCCGAAGCATGGCTCTCCTACACTTTAATTAAACTAAATTAAAGTATAATATATAATTATATCAGTTTTTTTATTATGAATACATATTTCATGCTTACTATTTCTATATTACTACCGACCAACGAAAACAGAAAGCCGTGAAGTCTCAATAAAAAGATAAGACTCATTAGACATTCCTTCATAATGAAACGATATTAATTGACGAGTTTAATTAATAAAGGTGACAGGTCACTCGATGTCTGTCTCTTATCTACCAGACAAAGTTCACGTCGCCAGACTCCGGTCATAGAGACCAGACGTGATTAGGGTTTATGTAAGAGCATGTGTTTTAAAGGCTCATTGTGAATTGTCAAGGTAAAGTGTGGAAGAGCCATGCTTCGGCACGAATGGGCCGGCTCGACCGGAATGATACCACGGCCGAGCAGAAAACCGACGTGAAGCAACGCTTGCGTTGTGTTTCGTCGTGTGAGTGAGGTTCCCGGAGGCCCAATTGCCGTACCCTTCCCCAATCTCCCTAATTCCTGAATCCCCAACGATCCTCAAACTCCTAATCCCCAAAAGGTCGGTAACGCACTTGTAACGCCTCTGGTTTTCCAGGTGTCCATGTGCGACGCCGATTGCTTACCATCAGGTGATCCGTCTGCTCGTTTACCGGCTTATGCCATAAAAAAATTGTGATAATAATCGAACTTGGTGATTTGCTAATAGAAAGGTTTAAGTGTAGTTGTAAAAAAAACAATCACTACATAGTATAAAACAAAGTCGCTATCCGCCATCTGTCTGTCCCTATGTATGCTTAGATCTTTAAAACTACGCAACGGATTTTGATGCGGTTTTTTTTAAATAGAGTGATTGTTAAGGAAGGTTTATATGTACAATACATGCATATTGCACCCGTGCGAAGTCGCTAGTGGTGAATAAAATATTTATTTCTTTACTGACTAGTTGGCCAAGTGGTCACAAGTGCGACTAACGAGCAACGGGGATCGGGTTCGATTCCCGGGTCTTAAAAAAATCACAGTAGTAGCACGGAGTCTGGAATTGTGCCCGGTATATGGCAATAGTCTCACGTCACCCCCTATTACATGGAACTCATAACATAATTAGTGACAACTGGGTGTTACATTGTACAGTGGCATTAAGCATACAAGGTCACCTTCGCCGATCACGTCCCTGAGGACACGGCGGTGCCCAGCCCAGGCAGGGCTCACCGCCACCGTATGCTCCACTATGTCCTCTGGGTGGTCCTAGCAGTGATGACACCCGGGCGTTTCCTCCCGCCCAATCCGAAACAGGAACCTACCGAAACTTCCGTGTCCGGTAAGCACCTGCGTCAGGCGGTAGGTAAGGACACCATAGCGTCTCTCAAGCCACTCCTCAAAGAGGGGACTTACCGCTGCAATGACAGCGAGCCCAACTTTGCCCGACCTGGGAATCGAACCAGAGACCCCTTGCCCGGGACTTGCGACCACTAGGCCCCCGAGGCAGTTAACCGTAAAAAATTAACATAAAGAAGAACTTATGTACGAAGAAATCGAAAGTTATGTTGAATCGTTTAAAATTTTAGAGGCAGCATTTTTAGAGGCAATTTTTTTAACCTCTCAGTAGAAAGGGCTGACCTCCAGTTACCAGTCACTGTTGAGAAAACTATTTTAACTATTGTTTTGTGTAGTTTATATTTATGTTTACTCATAAATAGTGAGTGATATGGTTTATACATGGTATTTTACTTTCTCTTGGAATGGAAAAAATATCATTTACTGTACATCTATTTACATAGGTATAATAAAACTGTAGAAGTGTAAATTGGGATGATGACAGGGTATGAAAATTAAAAATCTAATTAGTCCGTCAGTTAGGTAATGAAAAAATATTAGACACGTATTTTTTTTATTTTGTTGTATACTTAGATAAAACTAATCAAAGTTTAGGAGTGGGGGCTAAAACGTCATTTCTACGTATAAAATGTACATAGAAGTGACGTCACGCGACATTTCAAATCAATATATCGTCGAAAGTATTCGTTTCTGTAAGAAAATAAAAAATACGTGTGTAATGATTTAAGATAATCTACCAGACGGACATTAAAATAAAAATTAGGCATCTACCCTATTGTGTACATTGAAAATATAAAAAAGTAGGGGTATGTTACGAGATAGCCACCTAACCCAAAAATGTGATTAAGAAAATGTTTATCTGTCTGTCTGTCTGTATGTTCACGCATCACTCAGAACCTATCGGTCCGATTACGATGTAACTTGGTATAATTGTACTTTAATATCCTGGGCACTACACTGGGTAGTTTTTATCCCAAAAAAGTATATACTTTAAAAACAAACTTAATTGTGCGGCTCAATCCCTAGACACTTTTTAAAAATTCTCAATAGTAGCACGGAGTCTGGAACTGTGCCCGGTATATGGCAATAGGCTCACCCCCTATTACATGGGACTCATAACATAAATAGTGAAAAGTGGGTGTTACATTGTACAGTGGCATAATGTGCACCTCTGCCTACCTCGGGGATAAAAGGCGTGATGTTATGTATGTTAATCCCTAGACACGATTACCGTACCAAACGCAAATATAAGTTTGTCGAATGTTAGGTCATTCCATCAATTATGTTAGGTCGCCGGCAGTCGACTTTACGCTGTAACTGTAGGGCCGATAGTCGAAATTAGCTTGAACCGATATTATAAATGCAAAAATTTGTGAGTTCGGGTGTACGTTTGTTACTCAGTCACATCAAAACTGCTGAAGGGATCGTGATGAAATTGGAATAGATTATAGTCTGGAGTAGATTGTCATGTTCCAATGTCGTACACAAGGCACATTATCTGCAATTACTAAGAAACCGGAATAATCGCAATGGTACTTTGACCGACCCTAACTCTTAAAATGACTAAACAAGATAGTCCTTACATCGGCTTTATGGCATAAGCCGGTAAACGAGACCTGATGGTAAGCAATCGGCGTCGCCCATGGACACCTGGAACAACAGAGGCGTTACAAGTGTGTTACTAGCTCTTATTTTCTTTTCTTATTTTTTTTTTGTGTTATTGTACCTTGTGACGGTGTGCCAATAAACAATTTTTCTTTCTCTTCTTTCTTTTGGAGTTAGGACTTGGAGAATACTTGTAAGTACATTTTATTGATGTTTTTTTTTAATGGGGGACAATCATCGAATTACTTATCCCGCCTGGGTGAGGCGAGAGGGAGTGTCAGACTCTTATTGACTATAAACCACCCCGTTCCTCCTCCTGCACTTCAAGCCGTTAAGTCCTCAACGGCTCTGTATGCCGCATTAGCCATATTAGGCTCCATCCGTTGATCTGATGGCTCTTTGAGGCGCGCTTGGGTCAAGGGGCTTACTCTTGAATCCAATTCCGATCGATCGACATTGGTATTGTGAAATTTGGTACTCTTAAGTTGCAACACTAGCGTCCATTGTATCCGTATTGTGTGGATATTTATTGAACTAAATGGTATTGAGTTTGGCTTTATATTCCGTACTCTGAATGCTATTTTAATAGCTACGGTAGCGGTTGTATAGTTTTGACATTTGGATTGAAATTACATTGAGATTGGTTTCGAGAGTAAGCACCCTGGTCGGGCGGCGAGTCATCCGTGCTCGCCATCCGCAGGCCCGTGCTTACGGTGGCCGGAGATCGTCTCGCGATCCCCGACGCCCGGTGTTTCCTTCGCGACGGCTGGTATTAATGTATATTTTGACACAATTTTACTTTAGATACGACCACTTTCCGCTCCTCAACCCGCTTGCAGTAAGACCTTATCAAATTAGGGCCGCCCAAGATAACTTGTCAATATATATCCGGACAGATACGGCCGAAATTAGGGACACACACGTGACCGAACTTTGGACGTCCGCCGATAAAGGGCGCTGCAATGTGCAAGTGATCACGAGAGTGTTGATATGATTTTTATTTACGAAACTAGTCCGCTGCTCGGTTCCTATACATTGCAGTGTTGGGCTCGCTGCCATTGCAGCGGTAAGTCCCCTCTTTGAGGAGTGGCTTGAGAGACGCTACGGCGTCCTCACCTACCGCCTGACGCAGGTCCTCACCGGACATGGAAGTTTCGGGAGGTACCTGTGTCTGATGGGGCGGGAGGAAACGCCCGGGTGTCATCACTGCGAGGACCGCCCTGAGGACACGGTGGAACACACCGTAGCGGAATGCCCTGCGTGGGCTGAGCACCGCCGTGCCCTCAGGGAAGTGATCGGCGATGGCGACCTCTCGCGTCCGGGCCTAGTGCAGGCCATGATGCGGAGCGAGGGGGACTGGGATGCCGTCTCCTCCTTTTGCGAAGCAGTCATGCTAGCTAAGGAGGAGGCGGGACGCGTGAGGCAGCGAAGCGCTGCCTCCTCGCGACCCAGCCATCGCGAAGGACACACCGGGCGTCGGGGATCGCG